GTTTAGCTGAGCTGAATCTGTTCAGCCTCACGCAAATAGACTAAGGGGGGACATGATCCAGGTATATAAGATTCTAACAAGTCTGGATGCTGTTCAGCCAAATGGCTACAGTATTTCAATATTAGTTTAAATACTAGAACTCATGGCCATAGGTGGAAATTAGCGGGAGAACATTTTAAAATGATTTTGCGGAAGCACTTAGAGTATGGAAGAGTCTCCCTGTTAGTGTAGCGGAAGCTAAACCCTGGGTTCCTTTAAATCAGAGCTAGATAAGATTTTAACAACTCTGAGCTATTAGTTAATTTCTCCCCAAACAAGCCTGATGGGCCAAATGGCCTCCACTCATTTGTAAATTTCTTGTGTTCTTACTTTTATTTATCAAGCAAAAGCTTTAGTCTAAAGTGATGCAGAAACAAGGACCAGGGAGCAGGACCAGTCAGGCTTAGGGGCCTCGCTGAAGGGCCTAATGGTGATGATTACTCCGGCGACTAGGGAATTTGGACCCACTACCTTGGGGGCGCAGATCTCAATTCGCAGCGCTACACACCTGCTCGTATTTTCATAATTTAACAAATAACACAACCTTTTGCTGTTGCCACTGATAATGATAAAAATGAGCCAACAGGTGCCTTTGAAATAGCTCACGAATGGCATTTAAGCTGCATCTAACCCTAAACCTAACCCTAACCCTAACCTTCACTGTCCCTGAGCAGCAACATCGCTTTCTTGTGTACATCTATGAGGCCTTTTTTTCTCACACATGTGTGGAGTCCTTGGGGACTCTCACACAGTCCATGTTTTTCCTCCCTCCAAGTTGCTAGTGGTTCCCTCCCAGTTCATCTCAAGGCACATACCCACATACCCAAACACCCACACACATTAAGCGATTTATAGACCGTACCATTTTTTTAGCCTGTGGGAAAACTTGCAAACCCCACTCAGACAAAGCATGATGGGAACTGAACCCACATCACACCGATGCAATGACAGTAGCAGCTAGTAAGATTTGCCCCAATGAAGACTGACTAGGACTGTTTATTGTGATATTGTGAGCCTGAAAATCAGGAGTAACACAGGCCTGTACTAAAACTAGACCAGGCCAAGTGGAACATTCTGGAGAGAAACAGAAGGCTGTTTGCCTGCAGTTCCTAGGGTAGGGAGACGCCTCTTATGTTGCAGAAACATTAACAAGGCTGATAAATTTACATTATGCTGTCATTTCGGCTCAGGGACGACACCAACGTCGTTTGAGGGTTAGAATAACGAAGGCAGAATTGCGTCACAGTTAAACAATTCTGTGCTGATCTTTAAACAATGAATGCACAAGAAGGTTTGATCTATATATCTTCTGCCCGGACACTTGGCCTGGTAGCTGTCTTGAGGCGCTGCTGTTTGCATGGAACCAGGCAGCAGACTGAGAGGCTCTTCTCATGGCTTACAGAGATGGGCCTACAGACATCCACAGTGCAGTGAGACAGCACCCACTGACGGTCTCGTAAGACGAGCCAGAACATGGCCCGCCCACTGCTCCCTCCTGGAGGCCCTGAATCAGGACGCCGCCTTGCAGAATATACATTGTCAGGTAGCCCTGCAGCTGTACTCGCTCATGAATGACCAGTAATGGAAAGGTCACATTCTCTGGCATAAATCACTGCCCTCCTTCTCTCTAAACAATCGTCATGGCCAGCGTTTTCCTGAGTGCGTTGTGACCATTAGATTCATTAAATTGAAATATATTCAATTACATCTCTGAGAAATAACTACAGGACTCATTCTGTAATAAGAATGACTACAGGACTCTGTCTGTATTGAGTATTCAGTTTTCTGTTAATGTAGCAGGACATATCACGCAATAAAACATATGAGCTAAACTTGAATATTCAATATATCTTAAGTGTATTTCAAATATTTACACACAGTTTCACATTTTTTCTAAATAGCTCAAAGCTCATGTAATTAATCTTCCAGTTCTCCCCTAAGACTATAGTTTCACATCTACGGATTATGTGAGATCACAAATTCTGCAGGTTTCATCCCCCAAAACCCACCAGGCAGTGTCTGCATTTGGCATGCGGATGCATCCCATGGGTTCGGTACGTCACGCAATCCGATTTGTCTCCATGATGCAACACCACCATTCACAGGATGGGTGACGGCAGTTCGACACTCTGAGCTTGACGCCTCACGGAAGGCGTGCGAGTAAAATCAGGTGTGTGTATAAAAACATCATGCCCCCAACACAGAAAGGGGGTCCTAAATAATGTATGCAGGCAAGAACAAGCCATAAATAATAGACGCATCAAAAATGGGAGCAACAATTTTCAGAATTTCAAACCAAAATTCCTGGGAAGCTTTTAATAAAATAAAGTGTATGTGAGGCCTCACATCCAGAGCAAATCAAACTGCCAGGAGTTGACCAGGTATTCCAGCAAATACACCTGTGTACCACCTCCCAAAAAGACACCGCAGAGCTGGCCAAGAGGCTGTGCACCACGTTCACTAAAGAAACACTCACATGCGATTTTGTCAGTGAGTCAGTTGCTAGGTAACAAGCTTTAAAAAAAAGGCTTTCATAAGAACAACTTGCGACCTCTTTATAAAAGCAACGTAGCCATTTGTGAAAGATGCTGTATAAAATGGAGGCTTTAGGCTGGGCTGCCTCTAGAAGCCCTGCTGTGTTACGTGACGGGCAGGGGGAAATTCCCAAGACAGCACAGCTTTCTGGGAGGATCTGCGGTGGTTCCTGTAAGAGGGGAATCAGCCAGAAAGGCAGTGGAAGCTCTTTTGATGTGACGGCCTGCCTCCTGCTTACACTGGGCGAGCGACGAGTCACAGCTCGCAGCTGAGAACGCGATCAGCTTCGCCGAGAAGCCCCTCGGCCGTCTGTGCTTTGCCGTGTCGCTCTGCACCCCCCCCCGCCCCCCCACTCCCAGGTTTACTGACAGCGTCGCGTAATTAAAGAGTGTTATTACAACTGAGTCATGCCGGTTTACAAGGTACACAGACAGAAGTGGGGAGGGAACAGCCTGCACTCAGAGATGCTGAGCAGACACCCCAGCACGACACAGACAGAATCTGGACTGCAGGACACGAAGTGTTTTAATCATTCACACAGAGACAGACACGCTGAAGAAGGCCAAAGACACCCTACAGCAGTGCTCACTGGCTGGTCGATTGCCAAGACATTTCTAGTCAATCGTGACGCAACTCCCAATCGCCATCGATCAGCAAAGGACCCCCCCCGCCATTTGGCAAAATATACCATCATGATTTTGTAGCTCGCCAGAATACAAGCCATGGAAATACTTCAGTTCCAGCGGAAAGGATTCGTGATGGCCAAAGGCATCAGACAACTGGGGACGCGAGATGGGCAGTGGGATGCGGGGCGGTGAGAAAGCGCCAGGCCGGCCACAGCAGAGCAGAAGGGACAGCGAGACGGCAGGGAGACCTGGGGCCCATGACCAGCCAAGGGGCCACAGGGGCAGATGCGGGAGTGCAAGGGGTCAGATCAGTGAGGGAAGTGAACAGGAAGAGGCAGAGAGAGAGAGAGAGAGCATTAAGAGCATGCAGGACAGAGAATTCAGCGGCATGCGGGACGGAGCATTCAGCGGCATGCGGGACGGAGCATTCAGCGGCATGCGGGACGGAGCATTCAGCGGCATGCGGGACAGAGCATTTAGCGGCTCTGCTGATGGCCCTCTGGTAATTAGCGCAGGCAGCGGACCTGGCGCCCAGCCCACTCACCACATGCCCTGTGCCCCCCCCCGCTGACTGCTATATACTCCCCCAGCTGGGGCCTGACCCGCATCCCTATCAAGTGGCATCAAGCGGCAGTTATGTGATCACATGATGTCAGAAAAGTCAGTCCTGGATTTTATCAACAAATGTACAGTTGAAATAAGTTAAAATTTACAACATTAGGGGGCACAAATGTGACTTGACTTTAGCAATAACAGTCTTATTATAATAGCTGATAATGATAACTATGAGAGTTACAATACCTACAAAAGGGGACAGGGAGAGCCCTCATGGTTAAAGGAAGTTCTTTGCATTTTAGTATTAAATTAATGGTTCAGTATTCTCATATTACATTCAGCATCAGTACATTCCCACCACATCCAGATTTGTTCTCTATATTATAAGGCGAACACGCCTGTCGTGGGCAAATTAAAACCCACAATAAATTTGTGTTAATTTTGCACCTTCAGCGTCTGAAGTAAATGAAATTCACAGCGAATGCACACTGATCGACGTTGCGGGCCAGACATGAATCAGACACTGACATTGTGCTGACACCGATAGTCTGAGAAGAGCTTGCTTCTCTGCTTTTTCCTGGTTCAGCCTAAAAACACTCCAGCACCTATATATCACCTTATAGATATCGGCTCTGTCAAAGTAAACACAAGGCAAAGAATATCCTCTGGGGGCAGCACACACACTGCTTACTGTGGAAACCTCTCGTTTTGCAATCCAGTCTGCTTCCTGTCTGGTCTGTGTGCTCTCTGTCTTTATGCAAACTGCCACAAGTATGCAAATTATTGCTTCACGAATGGATTTTTTTCCTTGGAGAGATACCATTAGGATGTTGTTTTCTGTTCCTATGCCATAGTTTCATAATTTCAGTTAAACCTGCAGAAAAGGTGGATTTCAATAAGTTTCTGGCACTCGATTTGCATATTTGATCGCGGGAAATTTGCTTGACGGGGAAGAAATACTTTAGTCACTGAAACATCTGTCCTGATCATGAGTCATGCGATGGTGTCGCTTTAGTAAACATGGTCTTTCAAGATGAGTAATGAATCTTTTATGGTACTTTCAAGTAAAGGCCACAGAGAATGATAGTGGAAGTTCTGGAGGGGAGTTTTGAAACATTGATTGCACACTCGCAGCCCTCGTGGTATCTCTACATGGCACTCCTCAACCCAACTCAGCCATTTGGATGCCCCGAGTGCCTGTCCTTTATGCTTTATGCTGTCACATCAGAATATCAGTGGTCTCACCTTGACAAACAGTGCCCCCTTGGCAGCCAGGGCGTCCTCCCCGCGGCCGTTGGGGTAACACTGGTAGTGCGCATCCAGGATGGGGTAGCGGCTGGCCAGCAGCAGGCCGCTGTTGAGGAACTTGAAGCGCGAGCAGCAGCCCCGCCAGCCGTAGCGGCCCACGTCGCTCAGAAGGAAGGGGAAGTAGCGGTGCAGCTGTCTCCGTAGCTTGGCCATGGCCCGCCTGTCGAACACTTCCTGCAGGCACAGGAAGTCCAGGTTGGCGGGAAAGAAGGCGGAGACCTCATGGTCGAAGCCGTCGTCGGCGTGGCGCCGCTTGCGCCCAGTGGGCCGCCTGAACGTCGAGGTGCGGTGGGAGAGCGTGTTGTTGGACACACCGCTGTCGGCCACGTGGAAGCGGGTCAGCGACTCCCGCGACGCTGTACAGCTCTCCAGGCTGCCCGCATCGCCCTCCCTCGCGTGGTGGTTGCCCTTCGACTCAGCCTCTTCGGGGTCTGGCTCTGGGGCACTAATGCTAATCTGGACCCCAGATGGGTGGATGGGGCACTCAGGGGGGCCCTGCTGCCCCGAGGCATGGAGGGGGCACTCAGGGGGGCCCTGCTGCCCCGAGGCATGGAGGGGGCACTCAGGGGGGCCCTGCTGCCCCGAGGCATGGAGGGGGCACTCAGAGGGTTCCTGCTGCCCCGAGGCATGGAGGGGGCACTCAGGAGGGCCCTGCTGCCCCGAGGCATGGAGGGGGCACTCAGGGGGGCCTTGCTTACCCGAGGCGTGGAGGGGGCACTCAGGGGCAGTCTGGGACTCATTGGGGTGCAGCGGGCACTCTGGGATCCCCTGGGCCTCCTCTCCCTGGGCTCCACTCCCTGCTTCCTTGAGCTCCGCCTCCCCGTTGCTCTCAGGCCGGTGGTCTAAGGAAGATGTCCGGCGCCAGGCCCCTCCCGCCTGCTGGACCAGGCTGCTGAAGGAAGCAGCGCTGATGGAGGTGTTGGTGGGCGAGTCAATGTAAATCTTGATCTGTGGGCGGTTGGCGCCGTTGCGGATGCGCCGTCCCACCTCGCGTGCCCGCCTCTGCGTGCCCGCCAGGTTGTTGAAGCGTGCCAGCGAGTCTGGCAGCAGGCACACGTTGGCGCTGCTGAAGCAGAAGCTCCGGCCCGCGGCTCGCCACTCTGCCAGCCGCCCAGCCGTGCATACCCCATCCGCCGCCTCCATGTGCCCCTCACTTACTCGCCTGCAGCTGTAGACGTAGGGATGGCGAGCAGACTGCAGGGGGACCCACAGGAGGAAGCCCAACAGGGCAAAGGGCAGCGAGGCCACCAGCAGCAGCAGGTATAGCGGGGTGGACACCAGTACACAGAAGGCCAGAAAGTAGCAGGGGTCCTGAGAGCGGCGCCGCTTCTCCTGGGAGGTGGACAGGAAGGACGCCAGCAGACGGTCCAGCAGCCAGTAGCAGGGGAAAATAAATCCCCATGACAGGCCATTCAGGAAACATAGGAAGGAGCTGGAGAAGGGCGACGTGTAAAGTACCATCTTCTGATTATGGAGCCAAACCAACAAAACCAAAAGGAATTAAAAAAATGAGAAAAATAAATTGGCCTGTGCCCCCTTTGTAGGAGAAAGCTACATGATTAGCTTTTCACCAGCCTCCAGGCACAACATTGTCCCTTTACCCACCAACCCCCCAACCCCAACTGCCCTCCAGTGGATGAAATAGATATTACACTCTGCCGTCAATGGTCAGCATGGCCGAGCCAAGTCCACACCACATGTGTCCATCGCCAAATGGCTACAGGACTCTGGAAACGTCCATCTTCACTTCTAAGGCCGCTCTTGGGGTCCTAGGGTGCAAAGGAAAGAAGAGAGAGAGCAGATAAAACAGGAGTCAGTCCAGGGTAGCTCTCACATTCCATATGGCAGGTACACTGGTCTGCAGTCAGCGCTAAAAATTGCTGTTCTAATGTAAATATTGACTGTACTGGTAAACGTGGCACAGAGAGCAGGGAGTGAGCGGCAGGGAGGCCTGGGCAGCAGGCTTGACCCCAGTGGAACCGCTTTCTCCCAGCACCGGGGTCGAGCAGATGCCTGGAGAGCAGGACATTGTGAGGAACATGAAGTCAAATACGTCCCACCCAAGGAGGCTCCATTGTGACGGCAGCTGTGTCTTTATTCAGGTCTGTCCCTCTGCCCTCAGGGGCGCAAACAGACAGGAAGCAGCCATACGGGAGGCGGCGCACCAGTAGCACAGGGCATTCTGGGAAATGTGAATGGGGGCTGCACACAAGCACAAGCACGAGTTCCCTTTCAATGACTTTGTCTTCAGTTCGCTTTTTTTGTGAATAAACAGCGTTCTTCAGAAAATCTCATCTCATGTTTTTGGTTTTTCAGTACCTTGCCCCCCCCATCCCCCAATGTAACCCCCCCCCCCCACCAATTACACAGCTATAATGGTACACATATTCCTCAAGTGCCATTAAGATACATCATTTTCGGTTCAGTACACACAATGAAATGAAAGAATACATTTCTCGACATGACCTAAATTCGCAAGTAGGCCTAGATGTTCAACACAGAAAACATTATGCTAATTGTGGCTGTGAGCGGGTCAAGGCTAATGCTGGTTACAGTCAGTCATAATCGGCACTTCAGGAACATTTTGGTTCCCAATATGTAGGCCTAGTCGATAAGACCAAGACTGCCTGCCGGGTCTGTTATACCGAACTCGGATGTTGCCGGAAACACATCCAACATGCTAACTCATTAGAGATGACATCATTCAAGTGTGTGTGATACCAAAACAAGGCAGAAACAGCTTCTGCAATTTCCCCATGGCATTTAAGGCACTTTTACCAGGAAATTCAGGCCGGGTTAAAAAAATAACTGTAGGCTACAAAGGTGTTTATCGCTACAGATATGCAGTCACACTCTGCAGTAGAGAACACAGAATTTAGATGGGATTTAATTCATTATGATTGTTACAACGCTATATTTTTAAATTTATTGAACATGTTTATTTTTACAATATACAAATAAGCATGTTTTAGGTTTTTATTTTCAGATATGTCGACCGGCGCATTACCTTTGGTTTACAACTGTTCTTAATTATGTTTGTAGTATTAATAATAAATCATTGCAAAACAAATTCTGTATTCCCTGCTGTACCTTATTTGCACTGAACTGTGAACCCAAAACTAAAGATTGTACCAAATCGTGAATTTTGTGTACTGTTACAGCCCTACCCGATTGTGTAATTTTTTTTCATAGTTTGTATGAGGTCGCTGCTGGAACAGGATGCAGACACGCCTCTGGCAGAGAGGGGGAATGGGGTGCTGTCCGCGGGGGGTCTACAGGGGTCAGCAGACTGCATTATGGGTAAATATATCTTCTAAGTGGGTCACATCCACTGAAAAGCACCCTCAGGCAACATCACAGCTCCCCCCACCCCCTCCTCTGGCCGAAACACCATCTGTGGTGTCTTCTATGCAGGTCTTCCATCTCCATCGCTCAGAACCACCCCCATCTGAGGAAGATGCCCACTATGTGTCTAGCTGTGTTTAAGCACCCTTTTGTGTTAGCGTATCATATCCATCTACTGAATGTATTATATAACACAAATGAACACAACACTGGCATAAATTCTACTTTTCCGACTCTGAATCTGAATCCTGATGGCATTTTTTGCACTCTCCGACGTGTATGGGGATCCCAAACAGATTTACGGCTGGAATTAGAGTTTTAGACAAGATACATAAGCAGGTGTGCGGCTTCCTTCATCTTTCAGCCAACGTCTGTCAATTCTCTCCTACCAGACCATGGCTAGCAGCTCTCCCCTCAGCACCAAAGGCCCACCATCTCACCCTATCAGCTGCCGCCATCACAGCGTGCCAACCAAGCAGCACAACACAACCAAGGAAGCCCCAATCAGAAAGGGGGGGGGGGGGGGGGCTCGGAACAGGCACAGTCACCATCAAGCACGCCCCAGCTATAGTTTACAAAGCAGGTATCATGGTATCATGGAGGACATGTGGAGGAGAGTAGCAATAGAGTCACCAACCAGCCAGTGGCCAACAGGCAATGGAAGATAGCCAGTGGCCAACAGGCAATGGAAGATAGCCAGTGGCNAGCCAGTGGCCAACAGGCAATGGAAGATAGCCAGTGGCCAACAGGCAATGGAAGATAGCCAGTGGCAAGCAGGCACAAACCAACAGTAAATGGCAAGCAGCCAGTAACCAAAAACCAGCCAAAAACTAGCTGATACAGTCCAGTAGCGACCAGACTGTTGGTTGTGCAAGTTGGTTTGCCCAGACACACAAAAACCTAACTGTACTGTATGTGTGTATTAAGCAGCAGGGGGACTGGAGCCCCCATGACGCCCCCTCCCTCAACAACACACACACCCAGCCAGCCTTGCAATCTGACGCCGCTCTCACTTGTACATTTGAGCCAATTCGTGGAGAAATAGACAAAATGAGGAGAAACACAGTAATGAAATGGCTGGTGTACTCCTGTAAATGGGGATTTTTGAGTTGGACCAGCTGTCTGCCTTCCTAATATTACACTCCAGTAACAGCTCAGTGATGGAGATCTAGCAGTGTGTGCATGTGGGAAGGACATGATCTGAAGGCAAGGCTATGAAAATGTGCATTTTAGCATGTTAGTGTTCCTCAGAGAGAGTGCATGTGTGTATGTGTGCATGTCTGCCCATGTGTCTCTGTTCTATATGAGGATCTGCGACTGCGCAGATAGATTCAGCTGCACTACTGTTTATATAAACTGTAGGCATGGTGCCGCATAATAAAATGCGCTTTATGAACATTGCACCTGTGAGTGAAGTGGACAGAGACTGAGAGACGGAGTCGCCAGAGGGGGCTGGTTCGGGAGGCAGAGCGCCTTTTTGATCTTCCCTCTTTGTCCGTTGGCCGAGGGGGCGCTGCAAAGTGACAGCACAAGATGAGACTTGCCTCACTATACTGGCACTAGTGCACAAAGCTCAGGGTCGAGAGCAGCCCCAAAGCCAATTATCCAAACAATAAAATACTCTCCTGCAGACTTTGCTGTTGGGACCAAATGGAGCATGGAGGCATCGGCAAGCACATCGGAATTAGCATTCCTCATTAATCAAGTACGACCTTTCCATCCATGGCCAGTGATTGTTAGGGAGGTGGCTACAAGGAAACTATCACAGGAAGCAAGGGGCACAAACATCACTGACAGGACAACTAGGCAATTATCAAATACTCACACAGTGAGAGTAAATAGGACAACATACTTGAACAACATGTTTTTAGTATGTGAGAGAAACGCCATGTCATACAGGTAGAGAATCCCATACACATAGAACTGGGGTAGGATCTGAACCCACATAGCAGACTGGGGGTAGTATCTGAACCCACACATAGAACCGGGTAGGATTTGAACCCACATGGCAGACTGGGGGTAGTATCTGAACTCACACATAGAACCGGGGTAGGATCTGAACCCACATGGCAGACTGGGTAGTATCTAAACCTACACAGAGGACTTGGGGTAGGATCTGAACCCACATGGCAGACTGGAGATAGCATCTGAATTCACACAGATGACTGGGGACAGGATTTGAACCTACACAGACATGATGAGAATCTCTATAGAGAGATCTTGTGTAGGACAAAAACTCACATCCCTAAAGATGTCCTTTAGTTTAAAACTTCAAGCCTAGTTCGTTAACAGACACAACACACATTTTTCGTCAAATGCTTATATCTTTAGTACAACATGCATTCTATATGTAATCTGTCCACACCATGTGCTACCACACCTATTAAACAAAGCATGCCTTTGGCCATTCAGGGGGGGGGGGAAACCTGAACAAAAGAGTGTAATGCACCCTCCAAAAGCCAGGTGGGGGTCTTACCTAAATAAATAAACAAACAAACAAATAAACAAACCAGTAATGGTATTATGAATTTAACTTTAATTTAACTCCCTTTTAAGTTACACGATAAAAAGGAAGAGACTGAGACTGGGAGGTGGAGGAGTAGGAGAAAGGTTGCAGTATGATAGGATCGTATCCACTTGTCTCTGGATTGTGTCTGTGTTCCTAACATTTCTATTATTTGTACCGTTTGGCTGAATTGCACGATTGCACCTTTACACTGGACCGTCTGAATCATCATCATTCGGTACTCTTGGACTACAACCCATTTAGTAAGAACATTCCAGATTGCCTCCTTTCCGAGTGAGACTATCATCACTGTCACTTCACACTTGTAAGGTTTTGAGTATTTTGAAGATTGCTGGCTGGGTTTTGTGTTTATGGTGTCTCAGTAACATTGTATATATATTTGTAAGTGTTTGCATCACTATTAACCAACAGCACTGTGCAAAAGTCTTGGGCAGTGAAAGGAAATGTTTAAAGCTATTTATCTGAATAGTAAGTGCATATTTGCTCAGGACAAAAAAAAAAACACAATTTAACTTAAAAACATATACTGTACCAGTTAATAGTAATACAACAAAAACTAACAGGAATTTCTTGTTTTTCCAAAACGTTTCTGATATTTTGTTGGATGGCTAGATGAACACCACTTCAGTTCCCAAACCTCTGCTTAGGGGCACCTCAGCCATTCCATGTACATATTAATTTTCACCACCGGCTTACTTAATTAATTAATTTAATTAGCTTTACAAAGTCAGTGAGGTATTGATCAACCATATGAGGTGTGCTAATGGTTGAGTCAAAAAATACATGGGTGCATTGGCTGGTTGCTGTATATATTCAGGTGATTTTAAGAGAGGTTTTTAAATGGTTCAGCTAACACACTTTGACAGGCATAATAGCATAGTTTTACACCAACATAAA